CCCTTAAATAGAGGCAGAATATAGGTCATTTATTTCCTTAGAGTTTCCCTGTGCCTGACTTTGTTCTTTCTGGCACTTTCTAGAACCTTCCTCAATGGGTTTGAGGCAACTGTATATATACTTTATCCAAACCCACTTAGTCTATTTTTAGCAACTACAGTTACAATTCAAGTGTTAAAGTAGGTGAGAACTATCAGTTAAAGTTTGAGAAAGAAGAGGGTTTTTTTCCCCATTTTTTTCCATGTTAACAACCAAGAGAAACCAAATACAAGGAAATCCACTTGAATTTGCAAGTATAATAATTTTTATTTTTTTTCATTTTAACAAATAATACAGTCATTTGAATAAATTAGAAAAATGCAAGCAAAAGCAAAATATACTAAAATTACCCATAATCCCACTGCTTAGGAGTGACTACCCTTAACATTTATAAGGTTATTGTTCCAGCCTATATTTTCTTCTAAAATACGCCTGTACACATGGCTTATATAACTTGAATCATAGTGTGCCTATTGTTTGATAAGTTTAATCTTAGTCAAAAGTGAGTCATGAAGATATTTCATAGGTTACTTACTGTCTTATAGTGTAAATTTAATGGCAGCAGGATGGTCTACATGACAAGCTGACGAAAATTTATATTTTTTTGAAAATTTAGACTCAGAATGGTTGCAGTAATAGTACAAAGAAATCCTAAAATCCTTTCACCTAAATTCCTTAAACGTTAATACTTTACTGCACATATTTATCTGTTTCTGTGTGTTTCTCTTTCACCCTTTATCTGTTTATGTGTGTTTATTATACTTTTTTTTCTAAACTGTTTAAAAGCAGACTGCAAACAGAACAATGCCCCCTTTCCCTCTAAACTGACATCAACTTTCTAAAATGAAAGACATTATCTTACAATATCTTATAATTATTTAAACCAGGAAATTAACATTGGTGGGCTACTTCTGATATGGACTTCTCAAATTTTTCTAATTGTCCCATTTAATGTCCTTTAATGTAATCTTTATTTTTTAAATTTTTTATTTATTTATGACAGTCACACACAGGGAGAGAGAGGCAGAGACACAGGCAGAGGGAGAAGCAGGCTCCATGCAGGGAGCCCGACGTGGGATTCGATCCCGGGTCTCCAGGATCGCGCCCTGGGCCAAAGGCAGGCGCTAAACTGCTGCGCCACCCAGGGATCCCCCATTTAATGTCCTTTAAAGGAATTTTCTATCCAGGATTCAGTCAAGGATCACACATTGCATTGGTGAATTGGGTAAGAGTCAAATCACAGTGGACGTTCAGATTCTCCCTCTAGAAATCTTCAAGTTCTTTTCTGTTCATTTTTAGGGGGAACCAGGGAATTCTGAAAGCTGCATTTCAGAAATGCTGTCATAATGGTTTTTAATTCCTTTTGCTCTTACCCATGCTACGTTGTAGAATAAGGAACGACATTGATAGGTCATGTGAGAGTTTCTTAATGTACTCTTTTAAAAACCTCAGACTTTCATTTTTATGTTTTAGCATTTTCTTTCTTTCTTTCTTCTTTCTTTCTTTCTTTCTTTCTTTCTTTCTTTCTTTCTTTCTTTCTTCTTTCTTTCTTTCTTTCTCTTTCTTTCTTTCTTTATTTATTTATTATTTGTAATGGGAGCCACATAATATGTAAGGGGAAACATTTGCCTCGTTTCCACAGTTTTGTTAATTTTTAGGCAGAAAGATTGTGGTTACCTAGAGTTGACCTTATGTTGAATTAAAATCAGTATTTCTCTTAAAACAAAAAAGGTGTAGGTCAATCAAGAAGTTCTTGTCTGATCTTAAAAAAAAAAGGACAACATTATGGGTTTTAAGCTGGAGGTAAGATTCTCAGATTTTGTTTTGTTTTGTTTTTAAAGTCATTTCCTTGACATTACAGAAAACGGTTTCAAAGAAGGTGCTCTAATAAATTCCTGGAATAGTGAGAGGGGAGAAGACAAGACAGAGACCAGACAGGCAGGGGAGGAGAGGAAGTAACAGTCCAAGTCCAGCTTGCAGAGTCCCGTCCCCCTGATCCCCCCACCCCCCCTCCCACTCCACACTCTGCAGCTGGAGTAGAAGGTCTAGGTTTGTGATGCCAAACCTCCTACCACTTATATGAAAATTCACATATAAGAAAGAGGACACGAGACCGCCTGGGGGTTCAGTGGGTTAAGCATCTGCCTTTGGTTCAGGTCACGATCTTGGGGTCCTGGGATACAGCCCTGTGTTGGGCTCCCACTCAGCAGGGAGTCTGCTTCTACCCCTCCCTCTCCCCCCCTCTTCCCCATTTATTCGCATGTGCACTTGCAGGTGTGCCCACTCTCTCTCTCAAATAAATTAATAAAACCTTAAAAAAAGAAAAGAGAAGACACAAAATATTCCCTGCCTTCAACTGACGTTTGCATAGAATATTTTAATTGAGTCTTGGGGCACCTGGGTGGCAACAACCAGTTGTTGTGCAACTGCCTTGGGCTCAGGTTGTGATCCCGGGGCCCTGGGATGGATTCCCATATCCGGCTCCCCGAGGGGAGCCTGCTTCTCCTCTGCATATGTCTCTGCCTCTCTCTGTGTGTTTCTCATGAATAAATAAATAAAATCCTTTAAAAAGAAAAATGAGTGTTAGTTCTCAGTAGATGAGACCCCAGTCTCGGGTGTTCCCATTTCAGTCTAAAAGTCAAATTAAGACAGGCCTTGAAAAAGGCTTCACTTTAACTAACAGTGTAATGTTGTTAGAGATCATTCCTAGATTTGTACTCGATTCCAAGTAACCATCGCTTTTAGTCATCTACAGTGCTAAACTTTTGTCATCTAACAAGCTAAATTAAAGAATAATCAACAGCCTATTGAGTTGAGGGGAAAACTTATGTACAATATGTTACTTTATAATCCCAGAAAGCGGAAAGAGCCTACCACCCTAACAAAATATATCCATCAGTTAAATGTTAAATGTTAAAGTCTTGCTGGAAACTTCCAGGGCTACACATTTCAGTTTGCACCTGAATCCTCTGGGAACCAGTTTAAAACGCAGATTCTGATTCCATGGTTTGGCATGGGGTCTAACATTGTGCATTTTAGCATTCTTCCCTTGGGGGGGGGGTATCCATTCTACTGTTCTCAGGCCACATTTTGAAAAAGCAGAATCATCTATTACTTATCACTGGATAGTAGGTTTTTACTTGAAAATGGAGGTGGAACTGCAGGAAAGAATACAGTGGTGGAGGCCAGATAAGGAATCTAAGACCTATTTGCCACCAGTAAACCGGGTGACTTGGGGCAGACCCTGTGATCATTTCGGTCCTCAGTTTCCACAATGTGGACACCTGCAACAGAAGAGTGAGTTGTTTTTCTAGGACATAAAGTATGTTTTTAATAAAAACTTAACAAAACTCAAAACTTCAGGATGAATAAGCTGGAGTTGGTTTAATTGCAGTAAACATATTTATTTAGAAATGTTAAATGTTTTCCTGCTGAGAGTGCAATCTCAAATAGCTACCGTGTGATTATAAAGAAAATGAAAAGCAAAATTAGTTTACTGAGAAAGTGACCCTTTCTCTTTCCGAAGTTATAGGCCGAATGAGACTGTAAACAGAAAATGTGGCCAAAGAGTCATGATTCAGGAGATTAAAATATCCCTTCTCATATAGAAACGGCGACACTACTTTTCTGCCTTAGGCCAGGCTTTTAGCAAAATAGACTCATTGAATTTGGAATGAAGCAGTTTTTTCATTTCATTTCAACATCTGGCTCTGAAATGAGGGAAGGCAAAGAAACATCTCTTGCTTGAAGAAGCATTCAGATCAGTTGTGGCAGCGTTCCCCCAAGAAATAAAAGGGACCCGATCGCAATGCCCTGAATTCCCACATTCAGAGACATTGTACAGAATATGATTTCTTATAATCTGCAAGTGGTAAACTGGCAAAGATGGACTTTTCAAAATAAGAGAGAAAAAGAGAGAAAGAGAGACAGAGAGAAAGTGACAGAGAGGTCATGTAACCTGCCAGAACTTAATCCATTCACTTTCACAGTCTCTGGGATCAGCTGCGCTTTGGGAGAAGCTGCAGATCCAGGGGTCACCTTTTGCCAGCTGCCCGGGGCCTGTTGCTTTTGCTCACTCTCTCTGGCAGATGTGATGTGATTCCTTTTGCCAGCTCACTCCTCGGAGTCTGCTAACTTGGCGCACCCTGCTCTCATCTCACTAGCCTGACTACCTCTGGGTGAGAGCACCCAGCCCTGCCCAAGGCCAACCCCCCCCCCAGGAAGGGTGGGCCCCCTGCCATCCCCTGACAGCCCAGATCCCCCTCAGCCCAGGCAGTGGCAGCTCTGCCTCCGGTCCTGGTGTCAGAGTCAAGGTCCTGACCAGCTTCCCTCAGCAAAACTGCCTCTTAATTGCTGTAGATCAAACAGTGCTGCTCGTGTCAATTAAAATCAAGTGGTGTTTACTAGGATAACCCATTTCCCAGGGCTTTCTCTATGCCTCCCGCTCCTACCTGATTAATGGGCAGGTCATTTCCCCTCCAACACCAGGAACACAGCAACCGATTTCACGGGCTCTCTCATTTACCTGACTTGATGACATTTTTTCTTTCCTATAACCCATTGCCTTCTCTAGCACCAGGGTCTGTCCCTGGGACTACCACACACTTCCATTAGGAGAGAACCCCCTCAGGCCTCACACCCAGATGTGAAGGAAGTGGCCTCATTTCTTCTCATTCATCTGTTATCAGCCCTTTGTCCTTTCCTATTACATCCCATCAACATGGCCCAAGATGTCATTCTCAGAGCTGGGATAATCACATAGTCTAAGAGATGAGCGCAGTAAGGCCCAGAGGGGTGACGTGACTGGCCCAAGCTACCCAGAAGCTCTACTTGCTAATTCCACCTAGTTGATGCCCACTTCCATCACACAGCTAGGTTGCTAACTAGCCATATTTGAGGAGCCTGATCTAAGATCCAGAGGGGCAATCACCAGGTAACGTGCTGTTAGAAGCCAAGCCTACCAGGCCATGTTGGCCCTGCCACTCAACAGGCTTCCTCCTCTGCAGAGTGGGGAACTCACAGTCGTCACGCATGGAATGGCAGTGAGCAGTAGGAGTGTTGGTGCTAGTCAAGCTCTCTTATCCTAATAGTCATGAGCTCTGGTTTATAGACTATTTCTTAAGTGGGAATTAACGTTCAGAAGAAGCTGAGGGGTTCAGGAAGCACTACACCCCAAAATATAGCACCTTGATGTACTGAAAGCTGCAGGAGTCTGAGAAAATGGCAGAATTAGGAAGTTAAAAAAAAAAAAAAGAATTAGGAAGTTCACTGTGACCTCCTGTCTTGCCTTTCTTCCCTGAGGCAGGACTGTCCCATGAAAGACACTCTCCCTGCACCAGGAGGAAGGACATGTGCTTCTATCACTTGTGATGGGGAGTTTGGGGTTGAGAAATCTGTACAAACAAACCTTGTTAAACTAACCCTGATCTTTCTATTGATCTCTTCACCATCGACTACTCCTTAATAGCTTAACTCCTCTGTCTTGTCAATTCTTCACAAATTTATCATTTCTTTGTCTAAAAGACATAAAAGCTTCCTGCTCTGATCATTTCTTCAGGTCTTCATACTTTTGTGAAGGCTCCCAAGTACATGTAAAAATTCAGTAAAGGTTTATGCTTTTCTCCTGCTAAATCCATCCTTTTAGACCCTGTGAGGGACCCTAAGAAGGTCAAGGATAACTTTTTTCCTTCCTTACAAAGTAAGACATATATCATCCATTCAATTTATTTAATGTATCTAAATAAGTTAGAGAACAATGGTCCCTAATTAGCTAGATCAGAAGATGGCCAAATTTTGTTTTTCAAGTAAGAAAAAAGAAATCCACCTACTAGCACATCATTCTTGTAAACTACAGAACACTAAAATTCATAGTAAGAAGGGTAGTAATTTGAGAAGCAAAAATAATCCTTCTCAAAAAGGAACAATATTTTTGCATCTGATGAGAAAAATGCTGTCATGGGCCAGAGTCAGTACAAACACCACGGCTTGCAAGTTCTTTGTCTCCAGCTCCAGCTTCTCGGGGGAAGAAGCCAGCTGCCAGAGGCTGTATGTAGGCCCCTTCCCTCCTGACTTCCCACGGGAGCCAGGAAGACACACGGCTCAGGGGCCTTTACTGTGAAGATAATTTCCACGTTTCTAAATGAAACAGCTGCCCATCTCCCAAGTCTTAGCCAGTTTTCTTCAAATCTACACATAAGTCCAATTTTCCAGAATCAGGATCCCTCACAAAATCACCAAAGGTAGACAATAGGCAAATCTACAAAATGAAGCATGTGTGTTCTAATTGCATGAACTGTGTCCAAACTTAGGATGGCGATGGCCCTATTCAGTTTCGTGGAATTCAGGTCTTCCCTGGAGGTGAGGTCCTGGGAGGGACAGAGCTGGAGGAAAACAGGCAAAGAGGCAATCGTCAGTGCAAAGGCCCTGGCTGTGTTGTAAAAGGACACTGAGGACCCAGGGGTGTCTATGTCATTGGAGTGGAACATCTGGGGAGACACAGCCACTGTCTTCCAATGTCTGAAGAGCTGTCACATAGAAGAGAATATCGAATTGCCAGAGGGCATAGGAAAGTCAAATGATGGGAAACAAAGAAAAACAGATTTATGCTGTAAAAAAGAAAAATTCTTAACTGTTCAAGCTGCCAAGAGAAAATTTAAAGAGAGAGATGGAAAGGAAAGGAAAGGAAAGGAAAGGAAAGGAAAGGAAAGGAAAGGAAAGGAAAGGAAAGGAAAGGAAAGGAAAGGAAAGGAAAGGAAAGGAAAGGAAAGGAAAGGAAAGGAAAGAAGGAAAGAAAGGAAAGAAAGGAAAGGAAAGGAAAGAAGGAAAGGAAAGGAAAGGAAAGAAAAGGAAAGGAAAGGAAAGGAAAGGAAAGGAAAGGAAAGGAAGGAAGGAAGGAAGGAAGGAAAGGAAAGAAGGAAAGAAAGGAAAGGAAAGGAAAGGAAAGGAAAGGAAAGGAAAGAAGGAAAGAAAGGAAAGAAGGAAAGAAAGGAAAGGAAAGGAAAGGAAAGGAAAGGAAAGGAAAGAAGGAAAGAAAGGAAAGAAGGAAAGGAAAGGAAAGGAAAGAAAGGAAAGGAAAGGAAAGGAAAGGAAAGGAAAGGAAAGGAAAGGAAAGGAAAGGAAAGAAGGAAAGAAAGGAAAGAAAGGAAAGGAAAGGAAAGAAGGAAAGGAAAGGAAAGGAAAGGAAAGGAAAGGAAAGGAAAGGAAAGGAAAGGAAGGAAAGGAAAGGAAAGAAGGAAAGAAAGGAAAGGAAAGGAAAGGAAAGGAAAGGAAAGGAAAGGAAAGGAAAGGAAAGGAAAGGAAAGGAAAGGAAAGGAAAGGAAAGGAAAGGAGAGGAGAGGAGCAGTTTTTTTTTTGTGAGCAGTGGTGATTTCCCTACAGTGAGAAATATGCAAGGAGGAGCCAGGTAAAGAAGTGATGCCCGCGCTACCAAGGACGTAAGGCAGATTGTCTAACAAAAGGAAAGAGGACGATGCCATGGGTTCCACTAGGAGTTGGGGATCCTGGTAACCCTGTCAAATGATATCGAACAGCTCCTGGCTTCTTTCTGTTTCCCTGTGCCCACAACTGAAGCTTGATGTGTGATAAACTCGGAGGATCTGTCGAGTTTGAGTATGTTCTGGGTTCCGTCAGTAAACATACCTGGTTTTTCTTAATTTTGATTACGATAACTGTCACTTATTGCATATTTTCTACAAAAAAGGTACTATACAATTTTGAAGTAGACTATTTGATTATCCCCCCTGTATGCGTAGGGAAACTAAGCTTCAGAGCCAATCGGTACTTTGGCCAAGCCACACAGCTCAGGAGAGTCTCAAAAACCTATTTTGAACCCAAATCCATCCGATGCTCTTAAACCCCACGGTGTGTGGCCTGAAAACAGCCCAGATGTACTGTCTCGAAAGTAGTCTCTCTTTTTTTTTTTTTTTTCCTAGCGGCCCTGGTGTCCATCGCCAAGTCCAAGGCGCGGAAATGGACACAAAGTCCTGGTTGCCCAAGGATGGCCCCGGAGCTCAGCCTCCCGAAATCCTCGGCCTCCCCAGCCCGTTGTCCTGGCTCTGCGGGCCGCCTCCTCCACGACGGCCGCCTCTTCTCGCTGGGGAACTCCGTGTCTAACCCGCACCCCGCAGCCCACCCGTCATGTGCTCCTGGGCCTCAGTCCTTTTCTGCCCCTAAGACCCGCTCCTTCAGACCAACGCTTCACCCTGCCGGCTCCCTAGTCCCCCGGCCCGGCCCGGGCCCGTGATCCCCGGGGGAACTCGACCCTCTTCCAGCAAATTCTCTCTTCCCCGCCCGCGCCGCAGCCCCACAGCTCCCGCTGCCTCCGCCCAGCCCATTTCTTTCCTCCCGCCCTTGGGGCTGCCCACGGACCCCCGGCCCCCGACGGCGGGGCTGCCCACGGACACACCCCCCCCCGCCCCCCGACAACCGCTCACTTGCAAGCAGCGCGGTGCCCGCCCACAGCACCTGCTGATGCGGGCGCCGCAGGCCAATAGCCTCGGACACGTGGAACCGACCCCGGTCGCTGCACTCGGTGGGGCCTCGGCTGTCGCTCCATCCTCTCCCTCCGTCCTGTCCCTCCGTCCTGTCCCTCCACCCTACCCCTACAGCCTGTCCCTCCGTCCTGTCCTTCCATCCTGTCCCTCCAACCTGTCCCTCTGTGCTGCCCCTCTGGTGTGTTCCTCCATCCTGCCCCTCCATCCTGTCCCTTCGTCCTGCCCCTCCGTCCTGTCCCTCCGTCCTGTCCCTCCATCCTGTCCCTCCGTCCTGCCCCTCCGTCCTGCCCCTCCGTCCTGCCCTCCGTCCTGCCCCTCGTCCTGCCCCTCGTCCTGCCCCTCCATCCTGCCCCTCCGTCCTGTCCCTCCGTCCTGCCCCTCCGTCCTGTCCCCTCCGTCCTGCCCCTCCATCCTGCCCCTCCGTCCTGTCCCTCCGTCCTGTCCCTCCGTCCTGCCCCTCCGTCCTGTCCCTCCGTCCTGCCCCTCCATCCTGTCCCTCCGTCCTGCCCTCCGTCCTGCCCCTCCGTCCTGTCCCTCCGTCCTATCCCTCCGTCCTGCCCCTCAGTCTTGCCCCTCCGTCCTGCCCCTCCGTCCTGCCCCTCCGTCCTGCCCCTCCATCCTGTCCCTCTGTCCTGCCCTCCGTCCTGCCCTCCGTCCTGCCCCTCCGTCCTGCCCTCCGTCCTGTCCCTCCGTCCTGCCCCTCGTCCTGTCCCTCCGTCCTGCCCCTCCGTCCTGTCCCTCCGTCCTGCCCCTCGTCCTGTCCCTCCGTCCTGCCCCTCCGTCCTGTCCCTCCGTCCTGCCCCTCGTCCTGTCCCTCCGTCCTGTCCCTCCGTCCTGCCCCTCGTCCTGTCCCCTCCGTCCTGTCCCTCCGTCCTGCCCCTCCGTCCTGTCCCTCCGTCCTGTCCCTCCGTCCTGCCCCTCCGTCCTGTCCCTCCGTCCTGCCCTCCGTCCTGCCCCTCCGTCCTGTCCCTCCGTCCTATCCCTCTGTCCTGCCCCTCAGTCTTGCCCCTCCGTCCTGCCCCTCCGTCCTGCCCCTCCGTCCTGTCCCTCCGTCCTGTCCCTCTGTCCTGCCCCTCAGTCCTTGCCCCTCCGTCCTGCCCTCCATCCTGTCCCTCCGTCCTGCCCCTCGTCCTGTCCCTCCGTCCTGCCCTCCATCCTGTCCCTCCGTCCTGCCCCTCGTCCTGTCCCTCCGTCCTGTCCCTCCGTCCTGCCCCTCCGTCCTGCCCCTCCGTCCTGCCCCTCGTCCTGTCCCTCCGTCCTGTCCCTCCGTCCTATCCCTCCGTCCTATCCCTCCGTCCTGCCCCTCAGTCTTGCCCCTCCGTCCTGCCCCTCCGTCCTGCCCCTCCATCCTGTCCCTCTGTCCTGCCCCTCCGCGCTGGCCCCCCGGCGTGTCTCCCTTCCCTCGCCTTCTCCGTCAGCGCCCACACCCCACCCTGGGGGAGACCAGAACTTGCCTCTTATCTCGAGGCCTCAGCTTCCCCCTCGCACCCCCCGCCCCCGTTCTCAGCACAGAGAATCAAGCCCCTTCTATGACACAAAAGAAGGACCTTAGAGAAACCCCAGCCCTTCCCACCCGCAGACCGCGGTCGCCTGCCCGGGTTTCCGCCGGCCGCCGCGTCCCACGCGGTCGTGTATGAAGAGCCCACCCCACGACGGCCCGCAAGGCCACCGTGGTCCTTGCACGGCTGTCACACGCGCAGCACGCGCCCCTCTGGTCCCGGCCCTCCCTTCCACAGGACCTTCGCTCTATCCGTCCTCAGGCCTCCCCACGTTCTTGTAGCTCTTCCCTCCAGTTCATCGTTCCCGTCGGCGTCTCACCGTCGAACTGTGCTCAAAGACCCCCGAGCCCACTTTCCCGGGGCCACAATCGCATGGGGTCAAAGCCTATGGCCAGAAAAGGGCTTGGAAGGAATGTGGGGGGGGGGGGGAGAGGGTTTGTGGGTGTGTTTGGGTGGGTGTACGGCGGATGCATTAATGGACTTAGATTGTACTTAGAGATGTTCCAAGAATTTCTCGACTGATCACCTAATAGTTTTCTGGGTAAAGTGTTGTTTTCCTAAAAGTCTGGTTTTCCCTCCCTGAAACCGCATCTGGTCTTCCAGCACCGCGGGCTGGGCCGTCCCGCCGGCTCCGCGCGCCCCCTGCTGGCCACAGCGCGTTCACCAGGAAGACGCGGCTCCCGCGCTTTATTATTTATTTTTTGTATAGAATTTCTTTTTTTTTAATTTATTTTTTATTGGTGTTCAATTTGCCAACATATAGAATGACACCCAGCGCTCATCCCATCAAGTGCCCCCCTCAGTGCCCGTCACCCATTCACCCCCACCCCCCACCCACCTCCCCTTCCACTACCCCTTGCTTATTTCCCAGAGTTAGGAGTCTCTCATGTTCTGTCTCCCTTCCTGATATTTCCCACTCATTTTTCTCCTTTCCCCTTTATTCCCTTTCACTATTCTTTATATTCCCCAAATGTATGAGACCATGTAATGTTTGTCCTTCTCCGATTGACTTACTTCACTCAGCATAATACCCTCCAGTTCCATCCACGTTGAAGCAAATGGTGGGTATTTGTCATTTCTAATGGCTGAGGAATATTCCATTGTATACATAGACCACATCTTCTTTATCCATCATCTTTCGATGGACACCGAGGCTCCTTCCACAGTTTGGCTATTGTGGACATTGCTGCTAGAAACATCGGGGTGCAGGTGTTCCAGCATTTCACTGCATCTGTATCTTTCGGGTAAATCCCCAGCAGTGCAATTGCTGGGTCGTAGGGCAGGTCTATTTTTAACTCTTTGAGGAACCTCCACACAGTTCTCCAGAGTGGCTGCACCAGTTCACATTCCCACCAACAGTGCAAGAGGGTTCCCCTTTCTCCACATCCTCTCCAACATTTGTGGTTTCCTGCCTTGTTAATTTTCCCCATTCTCCCTGGTGTGAGGTGGTATCTCATTGTGGTTTTGATTTGTATTTCCCTGATGGCCAGTGATGCGGAGCATTTTCTCATGTGCGTGTTGGCCAAGTCTATGTCTTCCTCTGTGAGATTTCTGCTTGGTCCCCAATCACTTTGCAGTTCGTGTTTCACTTGCATTCCTGTAATAATGACTAGTTCACATGTTACCAATAGGACTCTCCCTGCCTCCAGTTGAGCTGGGTATAACAGTTCCAGGCTGTCTGGAACAGCCGCCTTGGGACGCCGGGGTGGGGGGTGGGGTAGGGGGGTGGAGGGCTCGGCGGCGGCTGAGCACCTGCCTTGGGCCCAGGTCGTGACTCCGGGGTCTCAGGATCGAATCCCACGTCGGGCTCCCAGCACGGAGCCTGCTTCTCCCTCTGCCTGTGCCCCTGCCTCTCTCTGTGTGTGTCTCAGGAATAAATAAATAAAATCTTAAAAAAACAAAAAACAAAAAACAAAAAGCAGCCTTTAGCCACAGGCGACTCCTGAGCACTTCACACCTCGCTTGAATTGACAGGCATCGTAAGCGTAGAAAACACAACATCGTTCAAGACTTTATAGGAAGAAAGAATATAAAACATCTATGTTTCCAAACTTGCCACTTTTTTTTCCTTGCAATATTTTTTGTCAAAGTTTGCGTTTTCTGATATTTATCACAGCTTTTTTTTTGGGGGGGGGGTGACCGTCTCCATGGAACACTTTTCTCATCCTTGTACTTTTCAATCTTTCTGTATCCTAAGTTTCACATATTTCTCTTTAGAAGCATAAAATGGGGATTTGCCAGTCTGACAATGACAACCTGTGCCATTTAATTGGAGCACTTACCCCCAAACTTCAGTTATACTACTGAAATACCTAAGTTTGAATTTACCTTCCAAATATTGGTGTCCAGGTGTTCTATTTCTCTATGTTCCTTTCAGAGGGATTATACTCTACAATTCCATTTCCCTCACTATTATCCTATTATCTTATTATCTTTGTAGTTTCACATTCTTTTACTACTCTTTTTTTTTTTTTTTTTTTTTTTAGATTTTAGTTATTTATGACACACGCAGAGAGAGAGAGAGGCAGAGACAGGCAGAGGGAGAAGCAGGCTCCATGCAGGGAGCCCAACGTGGGACTCGATCCCGGGTCTCCAGGATCACGCCCTGGGCTGAAGGTGGCGCTAAACGGCTGAGCCACTCGGGGCTGGCCTCTTTTATGTTCTTAAAATGAAGATTACAGCAAGCACACTTGACATATCAAAGTCTAATAAACGTCTTTTTACCTTTCCCAGGATATTGGAGAAATTTAACTTTGCTACTATGTGTCCTTAGCTATCTGTTCTTAGACCAGCGGCATAAAAATCACCTGGGAGGTTGTCAAACATGACACATCTCTAGCACCACCCCAGACCTTTTGATCAAAATCTACAATTTATCAAGATGATTCATATATTAAAAGTTTGAGGAGTACTGCTTTACAGCATTGAAACTCCACTTAAATTTTCACAATTATTATACCATTTTGTGTATTTTATTTATATTTCAAACCCATCTCGTTTTGGACAATGTTCATCTATTCATTTATTATTTGCCAATAAAGATATACTTTCCATTTATTCTTGTTTTGTAATTCCTGACCTTTCATCCAAGATAATTTTCCTTTTGCCTGAAGAATATATACATATTTACCTTAAAATGTGACTTTCAATAGTTTTAGTTTGAAGGTTTATTTCCCAATCATTTTAAAAAAAAGATTCTATTATGGACATTTTCAAACATATTTAAGAGTAGAGAGAACAGTATAATGAACCTGATTTATGCATTCCCAATTATTGATGTATGGCTGATTTTTTCATACCTATACCTCATTCACTTCCTAACCTCTGATGTTGTATCATTTCATCAGTTATGTTATCTCTAAAACGTAGGACTCTTTTCATTTACGATCTGATTCCAACATCATCACACTTTAAAAATTAATGCTAAATCCTCAGTATCATCAAATATCCAGCCAGTGTTCACATCTCCCCCATCACCTTATGAACTCTGTTATCAGTCTTTCAATCAGTCTATTTACAATCAGTCTATTTCATTTGCATCTTATTCTCTCCAAATTCTTCACAGATATATTCCATTTCTGAGAATTTTTGTTATTTTATAGTTTCTCACAATCTGATTTTGCAGATTGCAACCTTATTTGCTATTTAAAATGATCTTTAATGCCCTATACTTCCTATGGTTTGGCAGATAAATCTAGAAACCTGGCAATTTTGTTCTATTATATTATTACTTCCATTTAGAGGCATATAATATCCAATTCTCTCTCCTTTTATGATACGAAATGTTGGTGATCATTACTTAGATCTATTAATTCTTTGAGAGTTGCAAAATGATCATAATCTCATTCTATCACTTTTTGACTGTTAGTAAAATGTTCTATAAAGGGAAATATATTCTCATCAATTATTCATTTATTCATCAATAAGGTATAGATCTTATTAAAAAAACAGGATAAATGCCCAATTATTCACCTATTCACTAATTTTCAAAAATAATGAGTTGGCCCATAGAATCTGCCATACGTAAGCAGTAAGGGTTATTTTAAGAGGATAAAGATGCTTATATAGACATGGACTTAGAGCAGCCTGGGTGGCTCAGTGGTTTAGCGCAGCCTTTGACCACGGGCGTGATCCTGGAGATCTGGGATAGAGTCCCGCCTCAGGGGAGCCTGCTTCTCTCTCTGCCTCTTCCTCTGTGTCTCTCAAGAATAAATATTTTTTAAGATTTTATTTATTTATTTATTTATTTTCATGAGAGAGAGAGAGAGAGAGAGAGAGAGAGAGAGAGAGAGAGAGGCAGAGACCCAGGCAGAGGGAGAAGCAGGCTCCTTGCAGGTAGCCCAATGTGGGACTCGATGTCGGGTCTCCAGGATCACACCCTGGGCTGAAGGCAGCGCTAAACCACTGAGCCACCGGGGCTGCCCAATAAAATCGTTTTTAAAAAATGACATGGATTTAAACATATTTGATATGCTTCTATTCATTTCAGATGTAATCTTTACTGATACACAACCTCCTATCTCTGGCTAGTTGGAGACATTTGACATGATCCTAGTAGCCACTGAGTTTCTTTGCTAACTGGTAATAAAGATATTCCAGTTTTATCTTGTAAATTTAAATTCGTACCTAAAACTAGCCATATCTTTATGAAAGTCTATTTTCTTTTTGTAAGAAATATTATTTTAAGACCCAGTTTGAGTATGAAGAATATTCATTGCTACTAGGGTATTCACTGTCTAGGTTTCTTGGACTTTTCAGTGAAAATGGTGAAAAATATTGTTAAAAATATATATGTGTGTGGGTGCCTAGGTGGCTCAGTCCACTAAGCATCTGACTCTTGATTTCAGCTTAGGTCATGATCTCAGGGCCACATCGGGCTCTGCACTGGGCATGGAGCCTGCTTAAGAGAGAGTCTCTCTCCTTTTCCCTCAGCCCCTCTCCTAAAAAAAATGTATGTGTGTATGGAAAAAAAGAGAGATATAATCCATATATAGATAAAATCATTTGAAATAGTTCGCTCCCTGAGATTATGTACCAAAGGATATAGTTAGTT